CCTCCGCCCGGCCTTTCCGCCCCCCGCCGTGCGCAGCTGGCCAGTGAGAGCCTGCAGCAGGGCGCGTGCGCAGCTGGCCAGTGAGAGCCTGCAGCAGGGCGCGCTCTCCGTCTACCTCAAGGTGGGCACGACGCCGCAGCCTCCCAGCACCTTCTCTGCCAGATCTGCCGCGGCTGCTGGCCGTCACTGCAGACTCAGGTGCAGGCTCTGGTGGATCGTTGAGGGACTGCTCACTCCTTCCCCTTCATCAACTGAGGCCCAGAGTGGGAAAAGGGATCACCCAAGAGCAAACTAGACACCACAGTGAAATCCTGCTCTGGCTGCCATTCTGAGGCGGCACTTCTCACTCACAGGTGAGAGGCCAATCACTTGCATTAAGACAAAAAAAAAAAAGCACTGGTGGTGAGGAGCGTAGCACAGATGTTATGCGCCCAGTGCAGACCTGGCACCGGGGGATGGCAGAGAGCAGCCAACACTTATTTATTTATTTTTTATTTTTAGAGAGGTTTTCACTATTAGGGCGTGTGTGCTCGCCAGACAGAGACAGAGAGACAGAAAGCGAGAAATCACCCCCCAGGGGGGATGGTCACACCGCAATCCCTTCTCCTCCATTCTCCTCTCGGGATCTTGGGCACGCACGCACACGCGCCCAGTGTGAGTTTTAAGCCACCGGGTCCGGGATGCGAACCGTGGTCAACTACGTGGGAGTCCAGTGACATAGCCATTATGCTAACTGCTGGTTCCCCAGCCAATATTTATTGAGGGCTCACCAAAGGTGCCATTTTCATGAACTCCATTTATCACAAGACCCCTAAGTAGTTACTGTTTTTTTTTTTTTTTTTTGATTTTTTTTTTTTTGCTATAGGGCACGTGTGCTTGCCAGAAAGATAGAGACAGACAGAAAGTGAGAAATCACCCCTCAGGAGGCATGGCCACGCCGCAATCCATTCTCCATTCTCCTTTCAGGATCTTGGGTATGCATGCACACCCTCCTGGCATGAGTTTAAGTCACTGGGTCCGGGTCTTGAACCATGGTCAACTCATGGGAGTCCAGTGACATAGCCATTACACCAACTGCTGGTCTTTATTTTTTTTTCTTTTTCCACCCTAGTTTATAAATGAGAACACAGAAGCCCCAGAAAGGTCTGGAAACTTGCCCAAAGTCATGCAGGTAGCCAGGGGTGACCTTGTCTAAAGCCCACACGTGTGCTCACGGCGTGCCTGAGCCCAGGCAGCTGACAAGACAACCTGCTCCGGTGTGGAAACTGCGAGCGATCCCTTCTGCAGTGGGGACACATGGGACAGATGTCGACAAGGCAGGGAAGAGCCGTGACCTAGCTGGAGAGGATAGTTAGGATTTCTGCAGTCAGGGCAGGGGGCAGGCCTGAGAAGCACTTTTTTTTTTTACTTTTTAAAGAATTATTTAACTTTTTTTCTTTTAACTTGACCAGAGAGGAGGAGAGTGAGAGAGAAGAATCCAGCCCGCCACCTGCCAGCCCGAGAAGCGTTTCTGTAAGAGGGCAGTGAGTGTCACAGCTCTGACAGACCTTGAGCATCACTCTGATGCTGGGATAATGGCCAGAGATGGGAGGCTCCCACCTACGGTCAGCCAGGGAACAGCAGTGCCAGGGCCTGCCCTGGGCCTTGTATGTCCCAGCCCTTACCCTCTCTGTAGGCCTGCATGAACTCTCCACTTTTGGCCTGACCTCTGGTCTGCTGAGTGCTTTCTGCACTGTCCTCTACCCTCTTCAGTTGTGCTTTTTTCTCAGAAGGCCCTGGGATGCCTGTTACATGGTCACCAAGACTATACGGGCATGCCTGAAAGGCGGAAGCCCGGGCACAATGAAGTGGTACGACTGGGGCAGCTGGACTGGAATCGACTACTTTACTGGATGGCAGGTTAGGGTGTGCAGTTAAGGACCAGTTTGGAGGCACACTTCGGGAAACGCTGAACAAAGATGATGTATTTACTGAACAGATGAAGATCGCCACTCCATCAAAATAGAGAGCTTATGTAGCTGATCGTGCGCTTTGGGTTTAAGTTAAAGTCACGGACTATTGTTTATTTTCTGAATTTTAAATTTTCTATAGGGTACATGTGCTCATCAAAGAAAGAGAGAGAGGGAACCAGCAGTTGGCGTAATGGCTACGTCGCTGGACTCCCACGTGGTCGACCGCGGTTCGTGTCCCGGACCCGGTGGCTTAAAACTGACACCGGGCGCATGTGCGTGCGTGCCCAAGATCCCGGGAGGAGAATGGAGGAGAAGGGATTGCGGCGTGACCATCCCCCCTGGGGGGTGATTTCTCGCTTTCTGTCTCTATGTCTCTCTCTGTCTGGCGAGCGCACGCGCCAAACACCAAAAAAAAAAAAAAAAAAAAAAAAAAGAGAGAGAGAGAGAAAGCAAGCTACCAGGTCCAGGACAGGAACCACGGTGGGCTATGTGGGAGTCCAGCACCTCAACCACCACGCCACCTGCTGGCCCCAGGGACTGCTGGTTTTAAGCAAGAGTAGACAAGTTTCTAAGTTGTTTTTAAGCAAGAGTACATGAGTTTCTAAGGAAAGGAGGCTTCATATTTAACCACAGAAGGCATTTTCTCTAAAGGTAAGGTGTGCTATTTGAACTGAGGCCAAGTTACTGTACATAACTAAGAACAAGTTTTGCTTTTTTTTTCCTTTTTAATTTTATTATTTATTTATTTTTAATTTTTTATTGAAGAGGTTTTTGCTATAGGGCACGTGCACTTGCCAGACAAAGACATAGAGATAGAAAGCGAGAAATCACCCTCCAGGGGGGATGGCCATGCCGCAATCCCTTCTCCTCCATTCTCCTCTCAGGATCTTGGGCACACACGCGCATGTGCCCAGTATTGAGTTCAAAGCCACCGGGTCTGGGACTCGAACCGCAGTCAACTTCATGGGAGTCCAGTGACATAGCCATTACGCTAACTGCTGGTCCCTTCCTTTTTTATTTTAAAATTAATTTTTTTTCTTGGAGAGGTCTTTTAGGGCACGTGCACTCGCAAGAAAGAGAGAAGACAGAAAATGAGAAATCACCCCCCAGGGAGATGGCCACACTACAATCCCTTCTCCTCCACTCTCCTCTGGGGATTCTGGGCACACACACACACACACACACACACACACACACATGCCTGGCATGAGTTTAAGCCACCAGTTCCAGGACTCTGGCCACACTGCAATCCTTCCTCCTCCATTCTCCTTTTGGGATGTTGGGCACACACGTGCCCAGTGTGAGTTTAAGCCACCGGGTCCGGGACTTGAACCGTGGTCGACTACGTGAGAGTTCAACGATGTAGCCATTACAACATCTGCTGGTCCCCAAGTTCTGGTTTTTAAACGAGTCGCCAGTGTTGCATTTAACTAGTTATTTACCCCAAAGGCAGGTACTGTCTTCAAATAAGGGCAGAGGCACAAGGAATTGTATTTTCTTTTCTAGGAAACATAGCAGCCTTTTCTAGGGGCTTCCTCTTTAGCACACTAGTCTCCACATGCCCCCAGCCACTCCACGACCCACAGTGGGGAAGTTCATTCAGACGCCAGTGAGTGGCCAAGGACAATCTGCCAAGGCCTGGGTCCCGAACTTGCCCTGCTTCCAGCGTGCTGGGTAGAGTGGAATAACAGAACAGGCTTGCATGACCGTGTTTATTGGAACCCCCATATCTGCCCAATGAAGAGTTCTCCAGATTGTACCTCACCGTACAGGGCAGGGCTGAGTCAGGGGAGAGACCTGTCCCATCCTGTCCCTGAAGAGGGTCAGGATTGATCTTGGGCTTCCTGGTGATCATCCGGACTCCTCTCACTGCCTTTCTTGTGGAGGACCTAGGGTGGTCTGTCCTGTCACAGGCTGAGGCAGAATCTCTTCGTCACCCCTTCAACAACCCCCATTTGAGGGTGGGGGGCCTGGAGCTGGACACCTCGTGTCTCCGGGTAGGGAAGTCACGATGTCTCGTCCTTCAGGTCTGTTGCCTGTTCCCACCCCACCGTGGGAAGGACGTGCGTGCTCCCTCGCCATCTACTGGGGACTCAGGCAGTTCTGTGCATGACATTCCTCCTCTCAGCCTCAGGCTAGCAGGCGGCTGTACTCGGCCAGGGCAGAGGACTTTTTCACCCCATCCCAGATGCGGGCAGCATAGTGAAACCTGTAAGAGGGATCAGCAGTCAGGGCTATCCTGTCTGGACCCAGGGCTGGGTCCCCACCCAGCCCAGCAATGCCCTAGACAGGTGGAAAAACAGGTGGGAAACTTGCATGACCCAAGATGTGACTCTCCACTTCTTGGAGCCTTGACTGGGCTACAGGAAAGATGTCAACACTGACAGGAGGTCTTGCTTCTCTTACTTCACCCAGGGTTAAGTAACCCTGGAGGTGCCAGGGCTAGGCTAAGACCTCAGGTCCCCACCTCTGCGTCTAAACTTCTCCCACTCCATTCAGTGCTGGCCTCTATGGCTAAGAGTTCTCCCTCCACCTCTCTCCAGAATCTTGTGATGATGGGAAACATCAACAGCAGCTACCTAACCTTCTCCCGCCACAATTCTCCTCCCCGCTGGGCTCTGGTTTAAACCAATGGGAGGGCAGATATTCTGCCCCACCTCTGCCCACCAAGTTGCTCTCCTGGTCCCTTTGGGCCACAGCTGACTGCAGAAAGACCCTGAGGAGTCAAGTGGGAGAGGCTGCATTAAGGCAAGTGATTTCTCTTTCAAATCTGTTTCTCTGAAACAAGATGAGGCAGACCTGGATCCGTCTACTGCAGGCTCTGGCCCTGAAAGTCATTTGATTGGTGCTAGGGAGGTGGTGCAGGGCTCCTTGAGAGCAGAGGGGGGAACACCAGCGGGCAAGGGAGGAGAATAGAGGGAGACAATGCTGGCTCCCATGGTTCCTGACAACATTTTGGTTCCCATTTCCCATAAGGCTATGCTTTCTGCACTCAATAAACTTTCACTTAAACTTAACCAGGCTCACTGGTCCCACTTCTGGCCCAACTAGCAACTAAGCACAGGTGTGTGTGACACTTCTCTGAGCCTGAATTTCCCTCAAAAAAACAATGACAAGACCTACACCCCACTGGCTAGTCAAAGTCACACGAAATGTGTACTACCTGGCATGGATGAGGTGCTTACAAGATGGGGGCCATCTTCACTGTTCCAGAAAAAGAACCAGAAGTCTGGAGAGGGGGCATTAATGAGGTCACGCAGACACTGAGTGCTCCCTTCTGTCTGCACCAGGGTGGGGCATTCAAACCGACCACCTCTGCAAAGAGCTCTTACCAGTTCTTCTCAGTGAGGATTGTGTGTGACAGCTGTGGCCGGGCCATGGACATCACTTGGCTCCGGAGCTTGCTCACCAAAGACTGGAAACTGGGGTGGCCACGGTATCCAGGCAACAAGGAGAAGAGTGGGCTGGAGCCGGGTCCTGGGAAGTTGGGACAGGGAGGATAAGGGGACAGACTGGCAACCTTCCTGGGATTCTGGGAGCACTTCAGAGTTCAGCCCCCACCCAGCTCTTCCTGTGCTTTTTAAGAAATTTTTGCTATGGGGTGTACATGCTCACCAGAAAGAAAGTGAGAAATCTCCCCTCAGGGGGATGACCACAGCACAATCCCTTCTCCTCCATTCTCTTGGAATTTTGGGCGTGCATGCACTTGTGCCTGGCATGAGTTTCAAGCCATCAGGTCCAGAACTCGAACTGTGGTCAACCACGTGGGAGCCCAGCCCCTTAACTACTATGTCACCTGCTAGTTTCATGACTCTGAAACATGCTCCCATGAAAGGGTCTAAATACACTGGGGAGGCCAATCTCTCAGGCGAGGGCAGGCCATGTCATCTCCCAGAGAAGGGTAGCCTAAGTCCTGACCAGAGCAGACCTGTCTCTCTGTGGACCAGGTTTCCTCGAGGGGTTGCTGTACCTGCTCTTGGTGGGTTTTCGTTCTCTGCTTCACTGTCCATGAAGGGTACCAGGAACAAGTTGACCTCAGAGTCCAGGAAGTCGGGCGGGAGTCCCGGGAAGACATTGCACTGTAACATGGACAGAGTACCTGGAAGAAATGATGCTTCAGGTGGTGCAAGGGGTAGGGGTGGCTGACCATCAAACTAGGGCCAGGGGACTGGTCTGGGCATCTCTGCCATGGGATCCTCACCCTTGTAACGCAAGTGGGAGTGGGCCATGAGCTGGTCAATCATCAGGTGCATCTGCCGCAGCTTCCGCGGACAGAAGTCCTCTCGACGGGCTTTGTTCTGTAAGAATACTACGGGTGGGAGGAGACAGGCCCAGTGAGATGACACTTGGCCTCATGGACTCCCCTTTCTCACCTCAAAGATCTGCCTTACTTCCGAGTTCAGATCACCATGTAAGATTTATGTAACTTCACCTTGGCACCAGGCCCTATGCAGGGTAATGCTGGGAACCCAGAGGTAAGTCTGTTTTTGCCCTCAAGGAGCCTCAAGTCCAGTGGGGATAGGGAGAGGAAGAGGGCCACATGATCAGGAGAATGACTGGAGGCACAGGGGGCTCAGTAAGGCCAGGGGATACGCAAAGACCCCACCTGGGCTGAGGGGCAATAAATGATTGAGATCTTCGCAGAAGAGAAGTAGAATGGCCAAAGGACAGAGTAGGTAAAAGAACAGCAGGAGGAGAGGCAGGAGGAAGAACAGGCGGAGGGGGAGAGGCAGGAGGAGGAACAGGCGGAGGGGGAGAGGCAGGAGGAAGAACAGGCGGAGGGGGAGAGGCAGGAGGAGGAACAGGCGGAGGGGGAGAGGCAGGAGGAAGAACAGGCGGAGGGGGAGAGGCAGGAGGAGGAACAGACGGATGGGGGAGAGGCAGGAGGAACAGGTGGATGGGGACCACTTGGATTAAGCTGACACTGAGTTCCTGGGCTTCCTGCTGGGAGGTACCAGGACCCAGGAATGGACAGAGCTGAGCTCTGTCCCATTCTCATCACGGAGTCTGACCCGGACTCAGAGGCCAGGGGCAGACTGAGGCATTAGGAACCCGAGGGGATGTAGCAGCTAATCTTTCCTGACTTGCCCTTCACAGCTCTCAGACATGTCCTTCCCTCCTACATCCCACTTCCCCAGAGAGCTGCTGGCTTTCACTCCCACATTCTTCTGCTGGCCCCCAGAAAGCCTCTCACCCAGGTGGGGGTAGTACTCGGTGCCTTCATCGGAGCCTGATGAGCTGCTGGACTCGTGGCTGGGGGATGGGGTGGAGGGCTTCACCATCTCTGCTGTCTGGAGAAACCTTGGGGTTTGGAGTGAGAGGCTGTTGCTCTTGCATGTGCACCCCATATCCCACAGCCTGGGGAGGGGCACTCTCTGAGACCGATGAAAATGATAGCCATGCTCAGTAAAAGGCTACATACACACATCTGTAGGGAACTCAGAGACAACCCTCTCAGAAACCAATCCGCAGACCCCCATCAACTGTACAAATGATTTATGAGTTTACCCTGTTTTTTAAAAATAGGCTCTTGGGCCAGCTCTGTGGTGCTACGGTAATGCACTGCTCAAGAGAAGCCAGATACCACATGGTGGTACCCCTTTTGAGGCAGCATAAAACATGCCAGGCACATGCCAGAGTGCCCAGAATACAGCAGGTTGGAGGGTTGGAGGAAGGGATGGAGGTGTAACCAGACCTGGTGGAGGGTGCTCATCACTCTCTCGCCCATCCACGCACATGTGCTTTACCATGAATAAAGGGAAAAAAAAAATTTTTTTTTTTGGGGGGGGAACCAGCAGGTGGTGCAGTGATTAAGGAGCTAAACTCCCACATGGCTGACCATGGTTTGAGTCCCGGACCCAGTGGCTTGAAATTCATGCCAGGTGCATGTGTTTTGAGTGCCCAAAATCTAGAGAGGAGAATGAAGAAAGGATTGTGGTGTGGCCACCCCCCGGGGGGTGATTTCTCACTTTCTCTCTGTCTCTTTCTCTGATGAGCGCACACAACCTATAGCAAAAATCTCTCTTAAAAAATTTTTTTTTAAGACTAAGCTCTGTTTGGGACTAGCAGTTAGCGTAATGGCTATGTCGCTGGACTCCCATGTAGTCGACCACGGTTTGAGTCCCAGGCCTGGTGGCTTAAACTCACGCAGGGCGCATGTGCGTGCGTGCCCAAGATCCTGAGAGGAGAATGGAGGAGAAGGGATTGTGGTGTGGCCATCCCCCCGGGGGGGTGATTTCTTGCTTTCTGTCTCTCTGTATCTTTCTGGCAAGCGCACGCACCCTATAGCAAAAACCTCTCAAAAAAAAAAAAAAAAAAAAAAGACTAAGCTCTATTTTACAGCAGTTTTAGGTTACAGCAAAACTGAGCATGAAGTACCAAAGAATTTCCACAAACCCTCCACCATGGCACCTCACCATTGCCCAAAGTCCACAGTTGACATTAGGATTTACTCTTGGTCTTACACATTCTCTGCATTTGGACAAATGTGTTACAGCACGAATCCACCACTGTAGCAGCATACAGAGCCATTTCTCTGTCCTAAGGACCCTCTGTGCTCTGCCTATTCATCCTTCCTTCCCTCCAATCCCTGGCAACCACTTGTCTTTTCACTGTTTCCACAGTTTTGCCTTTTCCAGAATGTCATATAGTTAGAATTACAGGGTAGGTTTATAGCCTTTTCTAACTGGCTTCTTTCACTTAAGGTGCTTCCATGTCTTTTCAAGGTTTGGTAACTGATTTCTTTTCAGCACTGAATAATATACCACTGTCTGGATATACCAGTTTATCCACTTAGCTACAGGAAGACGTCTTGGCTGCTTCCAACTTTTGGCAATCATGAATAAAGCTGCTGTGAACATCTGTGTGCAGGTTTTTGTGCGAACACATTTCCAATTTAGGCTATTATTTTAAAGAGGTTTTTGTCTTAGGGCATGTATGCTTGCCGGAGGGAGGGAGAGAGAGAGGGAGAGTGAGAAATCACCACCACCCCAACCAGAGGGGACAGCCACGCCGTGATCCCTTCTCCTCCATTTTCCTCCCAGGATCTTGGGCATGCATGCACAAGGCATGATTTTCAAACCGCTGGGTCCAGAACTTGAGCCACAGCCAGCCAAATGTGAGTCCAGCAATGCCATCTGCTGGCCCTGGTTTATGCTATTTCTTTATACATTTTTCAAATAAATAAAACAACCTGTTATCTAAGGGATAATGGAATCTAACAAAATGTGTGGATATTTTTACACAAGCACCACCATGTCTTCCACAACCTCAAGGAGATCACATATTCTCATAGACCTGCCTATATACAATGGGTTAAAAATAAGGCTTGGGGCCAACATGTGGTGTGGTGATTAAGGCGCTGGCCTCCCACAAGGCCGACCACAATTTGGGTCCCAGACCTGGTAGCTTTCTTTTTATTTCTCTTCCTCCCTCTCTTCCTCTGTTGGACACACCATGTCCTACAACAAATTTTTAAAATAAAAGAACTGGGGCCACCAGGTGACGTAGTGAAAGCACTAGACTCCCACATGGCTGACTGCAGATTGAGTGCTGGACCTGGTGGCTTGAAACTCATGCCGGGCATGTGTGTACGCATGCCCAAAATCCTGAGAGGAGAATGGAGAAGAGATTGCAGAGTGGCCATCCCTCCTGGGGGATGATTTCTTGCTTTCTTTCTCTCTGTCTCTCTAGGGAGGACACATGCTCTACAGCGAAAATTTCTGCAAAAATTTAAATTAAAATTAGGTTACATTAAATAAATAATTCTTAGAAAGAAAAATTTTAAAAATAAATAAAGGGTTTGCCATGTGCCAGTCATGAAGTCAATAGCCCTACCTGCACATGAATGGTGCAAGGGCAGTCTATTTTCTATTTTGTTCACACCAGTAGCCCCAGGGCCCAGAACAGTGCCTGACATACACAGACAGGAATATTCAATATATCTGTTGTATGAATGATTCCCAATGCACAGTGGAAGGAATGGGCATGTTAGAATTAAGTAAACTTAGATCTCATTCCAACTTGCTACCCAGTCAGTCTTTTTTGCTATTGGCCAGAAGTACAGCTCACTCCCATCCTAAGAGTTACTAATTAAAACTGTAAGCTAGGGCCAGTGGGTGGTGTGGCTGACCACGGTTCAAGCCCCAGATCCAGAAGCTTGCTTGCTTTCTCTCTCTTTCTTTCAGTACACATGCCCTATAGCAAATTAAAAACAAGTAATATTAACAAATAAATAAGTTTTAAAAAATTATTTTATAATTTATTTATTTACTTATTTTAATTTGACCAGAGAGGGACAGAGTGAGAGAGAGAGAGACAGGGAAAGTGAGAAAGCAAGTCTTCAGGTCCAGGACTCGAACCATGGTTGGCCATGTGGGAGTCCAGCACCCTTAACCACCACATCACCTGCCAGCCCCAATAAATAATTCTTTATGCTAAACACTTTCAATTCTTTTAACTCAATCTGCATAGAACTGTTCTGTCAAGGAGAGGAAAGACACATGCCCGACAAGAGCTGGGATTCAAACCCAGGGCTGCCTGATTTTGGAGACATTTCCTAATCCCAGCTTTCCCCTCCTTTCTTTCTGCCTGGGCCCAGTGCCCAAAGCTGCTGCAGCCACCCTCCCCGACTTTCGGCTGCAACAGCTGTCCCGAGGCAGAGGAACCCTTGTGGCCACAGGTTCTGAGTCAGTCTCGCCTGGGAGCATTTCTATAATCTGCAGGTGCCGACTCCCTTTATTTTCCCTGCCTACCAGGGCACCAACTGTACGGCACACATGCCTGGAGGAGGCAGACGACAAAACTCCAAGGACCTGACAAGCGCTCTCTGTGCCACTCATTCAACAAACTGTTATTAAATATGTACCTTATGCCAGACACTGTGAGATACTAGGGACCTTGCATTCCTGAGGCTTAAGTTCTTTTTTTTTTTTTTTCAAGAATTATTTTGTTGGAGGGTGAGCCACCGTGGGTAGGGTTAGTGTGAAAGGTGTGGTGAGGGAGCTGCTCTGTTGCTAATCCGGAACTGCCCCACGTGCACTGGCTGTCATCATGGCTTCAGCTTGGAAGAGACTGCAGGGTGTGGGAAAGCATGCCTCCGAGTTCCAGTTTGTAGCTCCTAGCAGGAGCTGATGGCTGAATGTACAAAGAAGCGGTTAAGATGTGCCTAGCGGTAGAGCTGTGCTGTGGCCTAGACTCTGACTCTTCTGCCGGCAGATCTCCCTTTCTGCAGTACACAAGTATGCAGAAGCTGGGCGCGGTGCAAGATTGCTCCAGCAAGTACTGTGATGCTGCTGGTGCTGCCTCTCTGGATTTTAATTACTGCACGTCAGTATGGCTGAGGACTGTAACTGAGAGCACATGACATACGCGAGATTTAGCCTTAAGGTCATTTATCATTAGTATTAGGACAATTTTGAAATTGTAATTTTAAATAAAAAAATTGAAAATGGCTGCTAAAATATTATTTTAAAAAGAATTATTTTGTTTATTTATTATTATTATTTTCCAGTTTGATCAGAGAGAGAGAAAGTGAGAAAGCAAGCCACCAGGTCCATGACTTGACTTGACTCACAGTTGGCCACGTGGGAGTCCAGCACCTTAACCACCACTCCACCTGCCAGCCCCCCTGAGGCTTACGTTCTAATGGAAGAGAGGGATCATAAGGGGATCTACAAGATCCTGCCAAGGAGTGGAAAGTACAATGAAAGAAAACAAGCAGAGAAATGAGGGAGAGAGTAACAAGAGCATTCTACAGTCAGGGAACCAGAGGCTAAACTGGATGGTCTGAGGGAGGGAGACTGAGATCTGCAGGAAGAGCATTTCTAGGTGAGAGCAGAGGAATGCAGACCTAAGGGGGAACAGCGACGAAGACCCTATGTTAATCAGGGTGTGGGAGACATCAGCAGGATGGTCAAATGGAGCACTAGAACTGCACGCACAGAAAGGGCTGTGTGGATTGTACTCTGAGCAATGTGTAAAGTCAGTGGAGGGTTGTGGGTATGTTCTGAAGGGGGTTCACACCAACGGATGTTTAAAAAGTGTCCTCTGGGGCTTTATGCAACTTGGGAGACCTTGGCCAGTGGCTCAGTCTCGGGCTTGGGCTCTGTCTCTTGTCTCACTCCCCCACTCCCAGGGATCCACCCGCCATGTTTCTCACCTGTACAGACTGAGGTCTGTGAACCAGTCCTGGACGACAATCACCACATGGCAGACCGTGAAGAGGAAGGCAGCAATCTGGAGTGACTGAAGGTAGGCAGGAAGGGACAACAAAGTTGAGGGTCCTTTTTGCCCAAACTGGGGTCTCTGACTGAGCTAAGGGGGGCAGAAGGCCCAGAGCCTTTAAATGCCTACTGTGTACCCAGGCTGGTGCTGGCACTTCATTTACAGGCCAGCCCTGACTCAAGCAAGGTAGGAATGATCAATCTGCTTTACACAAGTGGATGCTAAGGCTTGTAGGAGGAGAGGGCTGAAATGCCTTGCTTCAATGGCAGAGGCTGGAGTCAAGCTGGATCCGTGGCTCAGTGCTGTCTTCTGTCTACAGACAGCTCCTACGGCAGATCCTGGGAGGCTGGGGTTGAGGGTGTAAAACTCATCCCTGGGCCTGGGTGGGCTTCCTTACCTGCATCTCAACGTAGGTGTGGGGAAGGTTGTACTCTGGAGGCAGTTTGCGGTCATTGTTGATGAGATGGTCCAGGATGGAGGGGCTCAGGATGGGCTGTAACAGGAAGAAAAGTGTGTGTCAGGGAAGGAGTGGGTCCTGGCTACCTAAGGTCCACAGTCAAGGCAAGGACACTATCTCAGGACAAAACAAGGTCAGAAACACAAGTGGGAAGTCTATAATCAGTACAGCGCAAGTCAACTATGAGGCTAAAGAAAAAAATTTCAAAGCAGATACGCTTTCTTCAGCTCCTTTACCAATCATCACTACTCTCAAGTGCCTCATATCCAAGAAGAAATCTCTTAGTGCTAATAAATGTAACATTCACTTGAATGAGTCATGGTCCTCAAAGACTCCTTTTGTCAGTAGCTGTTACATATGCTTTCAAGACTTTGCTAAGATAATTATGTAGGTCAAAAAATACTGATTAGTGTGAAGATCTGTGAAGATTTAAAAGCTGCATCGGTGCATGTATAAGACTCTGTGGTGAGCTCAACAACAAATTTTTCTTAAAGGAATTTGTCACTGAAAAACTACAAGAGCTCCATTAGCTGGCGACTTCCTGACTCACTGCAGCAAGTGGAATTCTTTTAGAGTGGGGCTCTCACGACGGATCAGCCTCTTCAACTGCAAACACTGCACAGTACTCCGTTCTGTCCGGTCTTGCTAACTCCTGTCCCCCCCACCCCACCCCCAACAGGCCTCTGACCCCACCTATGGCCAATCTGTGTTGTCTCCAGGTACTGACAGTGCCTGCACAGGGCCTGGCACACATGGCTCACGTCACATTTGTAGGCTTTCCACACTTTGCGTTATCAAGGCCCAGTGTGGCCAGAAATCTGTTCCGACAATGAAAGCTCCATGCAGATGGGGAGGTGTTGTCTCCAGGTACTGACAGTGCCTGCACAGGGCCTGGCACACATGGCTCACGTCACATTTGTAGGCTTTCCACACTTTGCGTCATCAAGGCCCAGTGTGGCCAGAAATCTGTTCCATGCATTTGGGGAGGTGCATCCACTGTGGCAAACAGCATGCTATGAGGGGAGGGGCGCACAGGCAACAGGAAGAGGAAGGCTTCCCAAACGAGGTCACACCTCACAGGGTGCTTCAGGGAGAAGAGGCATTAGCCAGGCAAAGGCTTGACAGGTCTGTTCCAAGGACAGTGGTGGCCTGAGCGCTGACCTTGTGCCAGTCCTTGCCAATCACTCTGCCTGGATTTTCTCACTGAATCCTCGAAACTCCTATGATGCTAAGTACAGAAGAACTAAGGCTCAAGGGAGTTAAAACTTAGTCATCCAGTAGGTAAGAATTAAAAAGATCTGAACAAAGACTCAAGGGCTCACACTTTTAAGCACCACGCTGCTAGAGCCTTCTATGGTACCCGTGGTAAATGGCAGAAGGGCAAAATTTGACAAGAGACTAAGGGCAAAGAAAGACACAACTTGCCCACAGGCACCCAGTGTACATGGCTTTCATGGAAGCACATGGAATCCACGCAGGGTTCGGGCTTTAAGAATCCTGGAATGGGGCTGCACAAAGCATGCAGTAGGGTGGGCAAGCAGGGGGCTGGCACCTGTGTGTCCAGGAACACAATCCTCTCTTGGGTAATAAAGAAATCAATGCCACTGGTCTGGTTGCCCCCTCGTTCCTTCATTTCAGCACTCTGAGCCCGGAAAACATAAGCCCTGTGGAGAGGAGCAGGTGAGAGTACATAAGCGCTCTGGTTCTTGCCTCTGATGCCTCAGTACGACCCCACAAAGTGAACACGTGAGACAGGGTCCCTGCCTTCCTGCGACCTTGCCCAGCTATGGCCCATGTCTGGGGAACAATGTTCTGTGTCATGGCTGACTGTGGTCAGAATCCTGCTCTGGTGGCTTGAAAAACATGCCAGGCATGCGTGTGTGTGCACCCAGATACAGACAGGATGGGGGGGGAAGTACTGCGGTGTGACCACAGCACACTGATGAGGCCAGACAGGCACAGGGAGGCCTCCTGGTACATGGGCCTTGTGAGCTGTGCCTGGTATCTATGCTACTACTGAGTATGCAGTACCTACACGCCAGGCACTGGAGATCTAGCACTGAATGCCCTCCCTTCCCAAGCCTCTTCTCACGTGGGAAGGTCCTGGGTTCATGTCCAGAGATCTCTTTGAACATGCCGGGCATATGCTTGCCCATGATCCAGGGCAGGCTGAGGCTGAGAATGGATTGCATTGTCTAGACTGTGTTGGAGGTGCCTGTCTTTCTTGCTCATGGGAAAAATAAACAAACTTCAAAAGACAAAGGATAGCAGGTTAGTGGTGAGAGAGTTAATTAGGTTGGGGGGAGTGAGTAGGGGAGAAGAAAGAAGATGGACACAGAGGAAAATGACTACATTGATGGCTTATGCACGGAATCTAAGACCAGCATGATAAGAAGAGAAAAAACTGGGTAGAAGATAGGGAGCAAGGAGAACTGGGGCTCTGGCCTATAGTCCTGGAGAAGGCCCTTAAGAAATTTAAGCAATGTATGTGCATACCCAAAATCCCGAGAGGAGAATGGAGAAGTGACCGTGGTAGAGCCATCCCCATTGGGTGGTGATTTGTCTTTCCCTCTCTCTCTGTCTCTTTCTGGCAAGCGCCTATGCCCCACAGCAAACTAAAAAAAAAAAAATGTAAGCAGTGGTAGGATTAATTTTGTTTAAAAAGCTCCCCTGGCTGCTGTGTGGCATGGACTACAGGTTGAAAGGTGGAGGAACAGCTCACAAGGCCCAGGACCATCTCTGTACCTCTCTGACTTCGGCTTCCTACAACACCCCTTCTTCTACTCTGCTGTCTTCTTGCTATGCCACATTCACACATGTGCCCCCTTGTTACCATCTTCTGACAGGCCAAATAATGTATTTCCTTATGTTGTTTACTACATCCCCTATTAAGGTATAAGCCTCTGGACCAGGAGATGGCATAATGACTATGTCACTGGACTCCTAAGTAGTTGACCACGGTTTGAGTCCTGGACCTGGTGGCTTAAACTCACAGTGGGCACGTCTGCGTGTGTGCCCAAGATCCCGAGAGGAGAATGGAGGAGAAGGGATTGCAGCATGGCCGTCCCTCCTGGGGGGGGGTGATTTCTTGCCTTTTGTCTCTGTCTCTCTCTTTTCTGGTAAGCCCACACACCCTATAGCAAAAACCTCTACCCTCCAAAAAAAGATATAAGCCTCACGAAGATACATTGTTGTTAGTTACATAAACTATGGTATCCCTAGCACCCAGGACATGCCTGGCGAATATCAGCACTCTCTAAGTACTTGTTGGACCAAAGCAGGGAAAGCAGATAAGAGGCTCTTGGTATCTTGGAGATGTTAATGGCTTGAACCAGGGAGGTAGGAGTGAAGGAGAGGAGACACAGACGAACTATAAAGAGAACTAGGAGGTAAAACCTGTAAGACCTGAAGAAAGGAGCTGCTACCGAAGCCCACCACGCCAGAGGCCGACATGGTTCAAAAGGCAAAATGGACCAATAGCTTTTATTTTCTTGCCCAGTAACCTGAACAAAAAGCCATGGGGAACCTCAGCTATTTGGGGATGAAAGCTGAAATGGAAAAAATGATGAAGATTCCTCACGGCTCCTGAGAACTAGTGATTTCAGGGTTAAAGAGAAATGAAGATTTCCTCCTGATAATTTAGCCTCCAGCCCACAAGCTTGAGTGACGAGTCTAAGGGAACTATAGCCAAGCATCCAAATACTATTAGGGTTAACATAGTCCTCATATCTACTGAATCTGCTGCAGAAAGCGATCACAATGGAAAGGCAAAGAGATTCCAGATCACCTCTTTCTACTCGGTTCTGAACATTCAGATTGAACTTCAAGAATTAGTAAGAAACACATCATCCATCAGATGACTAGAAATCACTGCAGAAATATGGGAAAGCAAGAAAATACCTCTCCTCCAAGGGAAAAGAATAACTCCTCTTCATCCACAGACAGTTCAATGGAAATCATGGAAATGTCTGATAAAGAATTTAGAACATTCA